CATTTCACTGTAGTCTGATCCACTCCAGACTTTGCCACCTGCAGGATTTTATTGAGTGAGATATTATTTAACCCTGGACTGCCTCATGAATATTTGAGTATTATTATCATAATTTAAATGCCAAGGCTCACTTCTTGCTGCTTTTTTAAGTTTCTCGAGCGTGCTTTGTTTGGAATCCTTACAGCGTGTTAACCCGCAGGGTGAGCACACAGGAATCTTCGACCTCTGACCTCTGACCTCTGACCCCTGACCCCGCGCGCTCTTTTCGCCGGCAGGAACCGTTCGGGCACGAAGAGGACAGCCCTGACCCTGAAACAGCGGGTCCTGCTGGTGCTGCTGCTCGGCGTGCTGGGTTTCGTCACCCTCGTCGTCGTCATGTCCAAACTGGGCCGGGCCTCGGCCGACAGCGACCCCAACCTCGACCCCCACCTCAACCCGCACATCCGCGTGGGGCAGAACTAGCCCCCCCCCGCCCTCCCGAGTGGAGGTGGGGGGGGTGGTGGGGTGAATTTGTACCAGATACCACCCAGGGGGACCGAGATGACTGACTGGGGCATTTCTGTGTCGTGAGGAAAATACATCCTCCTGAAAGCTATCGTGTGGGGCTTTTTTGTGGGGACCTCGACACTCTTGCCTTCCTGGGGCAAGATTAACTACCCCTTCTGAGCAACCTCCCCCCACACTGTCCCACACTGGGTGGGGGGGGTGGGGCAATATTTCTGTATCTAATTATCTTTAATTAAGGGATTTGCCGTGCTCTCTCCTCTGCTGTGTTCAAGGTGTTTCTGCTTGTATGGTCGTTTCTTTTTTGGTGGGGAGAGATGGTGAACCACAGCTGGTCACACACACACACCTTTGTCCTCGGTCCCAGGACAAACCCGGCGTGTTTGTCCTAGCCAGCTGTCGGCCCCTGCCCGCGCGTGGCAGTTTCAGTTGAGCTCTGTCCCCCCAATTTTCTAGGGCTGAACGAGTTACCGAGATGCTCCTCCAGCAATAAGCTTACTTCCCGAAATCAGCTTAGTTATTGAAATTTAAAACTACCCAGCGGAAGGGCAAATAAATGCCCCCGTTGCTACACTGCAGCCTCAGTTCTGCGCCAGTTTCGTGGGGCACCCAGGGTGTAGAGTTGCCCCAGTAGCCCTTTCTTTCCCCCTCTGGGGTAAAAGTTCCTGAGCAGCCTGAACTCCGGAGGGCTGGATTCCAGTTTTCCAAAGTGGGAGGCGGAGCAGGGGGATCCCCAGTCCTGGTCCTGGTCCCCAATCCGGGCTCCCCAGCTGGTTATCCAGCTGGGCTCGGAAGGAAGCCGATCAGCTCGTTAGTGGTTAAATTAGTGCAGGTTAACAGCTTCTCCCAGCTCTTCAGGGGCTGCTGCTTCTAAAGACCCCTGTTTTAGAGAAGCCGAACATCCTGGGGAAAAAGTTCGGAATTTTGGGGGGACCAGGGTCTTGGCGGGATATGGGCACCGGCACAGTGTGTTTTCCATAAAACCCTAATCCAGGCAGCCACCCCCGAACCGGCTGTCTTTTATTGAGATAAGGAAGGTCAGTTATCAGATAAGCAAGTCGTTCAGTTAGAGATGGAGGGTGTTCTGATTGTTGTCTCAGATTTATTTAGTTGCCTCCACAGGTTGCCTGTGTAAAGATCACAAGAGGGTCCAGGTATTTAGAAATTAGGATGAAGTGGTGGCGACCCATAACTAGTCCATAACTAGTGCATAACTAGTACTAGTAGAGTTTTCTGGGTGTATGCTGTGATGTACCTTCCCTGTAAAATGGACCAGGCCGTTACTGTGTCTTTACTGGACACCAGTTTGGTTGGACACCCCTGACCTATGATACCTGCTGGACTGAGGCTCTCTGGACAGGTGTGGGACACCCATGACCTCTAATACGTGCTGGACAGGTGTAGGACACCCCTGACCTATGATACGTGCTGGACTGAGGCTCTCTGGACAGGGGTAGGACACCCCTGACCTTTAAGACCTGCTGGACTGGGACTCTTCAGGACAGGGGTAGGACACCCCTGACCTCTAATACGTGCTGGACAGGTGTAGGACACCCCTGACCTATGATACGTGCTTGACTGAGGCTCTCTGGACAGGGGTAGGACACCCCTGACCTTTAAGACCTGCTGGACTGGGACTCTTCAGGACAGGGGTAGGACACCCCTGACCTCTAATACGTGCTGGACAGGTGTAGGACACCCCTGACCTATGATACGTGCTGGACTGAGGCTCTCTGGACAGGGGTAGGACACCCCTGACCTTTAAGAGCTGCTGGACTGGGACTCTCCAGGACAGGGGTAGGACACCCTTGACCTTTAACACTATAATACCTGCTGGGCAGAGGTAGGGCACCCCAACCTTTAAAACAAGAAGATGTGTTAAGCTGTAGGTGCACATTGAAGAAGGGGGGGGAGGAGAGAGAAGGGCTGAGGTCAGGGGTCGTGTCATTTCAGAGTGATCTTCAATCGCTACCGTTCGGAAGTGGCTGTGCTGAACATTTCCCGTGGCCCCAAGTCAGAATTGCTCGGGAAAACGAGCGAGCGTCTCCGAACATGAATAACACGGGACTGTTCGGGAAGAGGCAGGAAAAAATTCCTTTTCAAAAACCAATCTTAATTGTATTTATGACAATTATATTATTTAAGCACCAGACTAATCTTTTTTTTGGGTTTGTTTTCTCTCTTTATTTCTTAATCTTGTACTTGTTAACACTGAAAGCAGCACAGTAATTATTTTATTGTGATTAAACTGTTTGGAGATTTTGGGCTTCTGTTTTTGATCCATCCAGCCATTTTCTAACGTCTATATCCAATTCAGGGTGACGGGGTCGTTGGGCACGAAGCAGGGGTTTATATACACCGTTCCTGTTCCTTTTTTTCCCCTAGTGAATATTTAATTTTGCTGGTAAAGAAAACTGAAAATGTAGTGTTTATCAACACTCTGGTGGGACAGTGGGTGTTGTGCCCAGGCCGTGAAATCTCATTGAAATGCCCCATTCTGGCCACAAGAGGGAGCTTGTGCTGCAGGAGGTTCTGGCAGAAGTAAATCAGTCCTGGTCCAGGAGGGGGCGCTCTGTCTGGAAAGTTTCTGGGTCCCCCCCTCTCGAGCACCAGGGCCCGCAGATCCAGGAGAAGCCGTTCAGTTGGGCCCGACGAGGGTTATAACGAGCTGATATGGGTCATTACCTGCTGAGCTGATTCGGAAACACCTGCAGTTGCACACTCGCCCTCTGGGTGGGGGAGGGGGAGGGAACAGCACTTCCCAGTATCGCCAGTAGGTGGCACTGTGGGACAAAACGAAAACTCTGCCTCCTTGAACTAAACCACAGCGCGGGAGCCAGTGGGCTCAAGCCCGTTGTGAGAGATGCCTGTTCCTCTGCGAACACCCCAGGAGTGTGTCTGTACTCTGCCCTAGATCCAGGCTCTCTGTGATGTTGTCGATCAGCTTGATGTAATTTGCCCCCGTATGGGGGGGTGTTGACACTTGGGCCACAGGCGGCACTGCGCCAGCTCGGTACTGGACAGCACGGGGGTTCACTGCGCTGAATTCCAACGGGGTGCGTAGACGCTGGATGGGGTTGGTTTTGGGGTTCACGCCCAGGCAGGGGCCAGACGCCCGGGCTGGGCCGAACCGGGCCTGAGA